GTTCAATGCAACATTCGAGGCGATAGATGGAGATTCACATAAGTGCTTTTCAGCTTTAATGGTATCAAGGAAATATGGCAACGGCCTAGCCCGTGCATAAATGTAATAATATAGTTATATAGTTTATATCTGACCACTTGCAGCCCAGAGGCTGAATTAGGGGTGCAGTGTAAGGTTGAGAACAGACTCATATCAGGCGCCTCTGGCAGCAGCTTCAGTCTATCGATCTCACCTTCCCACCCATCCCTGGCACCCCAGGGGAGGATATCCATCACACAGTAATCTCGTGTGTGGGAAATTAACGTCTCCTACCCCTAACCCTGCAGGAGACGGGACCTCTATTTATTTGTCCCTATCCGTGAAGACTACAATATCTAAACCATTTCTTGATGTTATAGAAAGGCAGCATATTCTTCTCAATTATTTTAAGACCTTGAGTGTTGGTCCAGCCGGGGCTCGAACCCTCGACCTCCCGCAGATCAGTCCAGCGCTCTATCCATTATGCTAACCGGGAGGCAGTTAGCTTAATGGATAGACAAACTTGAAGTCTATCTGCTGGAGAGAAAATCATCCTGCAGACAATTGGAGCCAAACCTTAAGGGAGTCTTGACTACTCAGATAACCTTCCCTCTCTAGACAGCTGCTTGGACTGTGCACCAACCCTTCTATAAGGACAAACAATATAATGTTATATAATGATGGCACACTTACAGGGGAATATGAGGGTGACCTTGTTCCATGAGGACTTCCAGAGTGTTTACGTTGGTGAACTGGGACAGCAACTGGGGTAGCTGAAGACACGTGGATAAATTTTGAAAAATTTAAAATCCCAATTGAAAGCAAAAAAGAAACATTCTCACAACGATTTCAAAAAGTTTTCCAATTCTCAAGCTGTCCATGGACATTTCCAGACAGCAAAAGTTAGCTGTGTCTAAAAACATCAAAGCTTCTAATATTTTTGATATATAATTTCTGGCACTCAAATCTTAAGTAGCTGGGTTGCTTTTAAATGTTAAAGTAATCAGAATTTCCAGAAAGATCAGAGCCAAAATAATTGAGCCTTTAATAGACAGGATCATAGTAATGGATTTCTTTCTGGAGCAAATATCTCATTCATTTTCTTTCTTTGTTCTTGTTAACTGCTTGCCTGCTCATACAGAACATTAGTAGCAACAGTAGTTTTGATCTCGCTTACATGCACGATGGGGAACTCTGCCAATCAAGAAGGAGTGGGCAAAGAAATCCGCTGCAAACCAAAAGATAACTTAATTTACATTTAATACTCAACACTGCTGAGACAGACAAAGTGAATGATGATATACTCTAGTTCTAACACTGCCTAAGAAACTTGTTTTGTAATGAAAAAACCTTTTTCAGCTCAAAGTGATATTGTTCTCTTCTTTCCTCCGTCAGCCTTGTACTCAGATCATCAATTGAGCATGAGTAACACAGTTCATAGACTATATATAATAAGAGTTGTTCCTGGCACATGATTTAAATAACACAATTTATGGTTATATGAGACAACAAAATCATTTTTGAAAAAAGAATCAAATGTCCTCATAATTATATCTTAGCCTCTACCTCATACAATTCAGCTTCAAATTGCTTTGAACAAGCTTTGCATTTGTCAAGTGAACAGACTTCTCAGTACATTAAAGAAAGATGTAATAATTCTTTACCAAAATCCAGCCTGTCACGAGGATTCCTTTTTAGTAATCCATA